TTCATGAATGAAACCCAAACTCCATGGGAAGTACTTCAAAGAATCCACAACTGGGATCTCATCTTATTACAAAGCTTTTGCACATCAAAAGAAATCACCAATAGGATTAGGAGAAAATCCACAGAGTAGAAAATAATCTTAGCCAACTGCCCTTAGACAAAGGACTTCTATCTAGAATATGTAAAGTATTGAATAAAATCAGTCCCATCAAATTCAAAGACCCAGTTCAAAAAATGAGTAACTGATATGAGCATGCATTTCTCAGATGAAATCCAAATGACAAATACCTCTATGAAAAACTGTACAACATCGTCGGTCATTTGGGAAGTGCAAATAATTAAATAACATTAAGATTCCATCTCACTCTAGAAAGAATGGTTAACATCAAGAAATTAACCAATAACAAATGCTGGTGGGGCTGTGGAAGAAAAGGACACTCTCCACTGTTGGCAGGAGTCGGGAGAGTAGACTGGTGCAACCACTGTGGAAATCAGTTTGGAGATTCTTCAAAAAGCTAGGATTAGAGCTCCCATTTTACCCAGCTATTTCCCTCCTGGATAGCTTCCCAGGAGAATGAAAAACATCAAACTACAGTGATATATGTGCACCCATGTTTACAGCAGCACAATTTGTAATAGCTGAATCTTGGAAACAACCCAAATGCCCATCAAGTGGGGGAAAGGTAAAAAAAACAAAAGTGATATTTTTATGCAATAGAGTACTTCTCAGACATAAAGAAAGATAAACTTCAGACTTTATAGGTATAGAGATGAAACTTGAGACCATACTCATAAATGAAATAAATCAGATTCCTATGTATAAACATCATATTGTCTCCCTGATAGGAGGTACTGTAAAAGTAAATAAGGTCTAAAATGTTCAGTAAACATTGTGAATTGGGAAGAAATTGTTCCCAAGGAAAAAGGAACTAGGACGGGGGAAAGAGAAAAGGAAGGAAGGGAAAAAGGTAAAATGCAAGTCAGCTGTACTATTACTATCTGTTAATTCATTGAAAAGGAAGGTTTGTGCTAATATCATTTAGAGAAGTTTATGCCCATATCTTGCACTCTGAGTAACTAAAGTTAACAATATGGATGTATTAACTATTGTTATCCTATTATTTTGTTATGAAATTTTGTTTTCCTTTTTTTCATAAAACAGAAAAGGCACACCTACTGTTTCTGCCAAATAGAACAAATAATAAAAAGAAATTAATGAAACAGAAAACAACATCACAGTTACATTTGGGTATTTAAAGCAATAACACAAGACATTCTAACAGTGAGATTAACTGGGCATGGAAGAGGCAGAAACAATATTAGAAATAAAAACAATACAAAAGTACATTGTTTCTAAAGTGCTCACAGCAATTTAGAGACTGCTCAGACAAGAATTTGGGCCTGGCTAGCTCTCTTGTCAACATCTACAAGAGTAGAATTACATTCTACCCAACAAATCCTCAGTGAAGACAGGTTGAGAGTGGCACCAATGTAGAGGGTGGACCCCCCAGGTTGGCCCATCGCTTAGAACAGGTGTGCAGGAAGCTAAGCAGAGACGCCTAACAAGCATAGACCACTTTCTTCAAGCACTTTCCCAACAGAACAGTCATATCTCTCAAACTAACCTTCCTTTACTTCTGGAAAAAAAATGATGTTGGAATTCAGTGTATTGTTAAAGGTGCTCTCAAGCCTGTGACAGATGAGAGAGAAGCTCTTTTTTTCTTACCCGTAGTTTACTAGAAAGCATTAAAAATTCTATCATCAATTTTACAAGGACCCCTCTCTGGGCAGCGAATTCAAACATTTGGAGGGTAGGTCTCTGGCTCTGTATTACATCATGTTTTATTCCAAGCAGTGTCCAACAACCAGATAAAGCTGAGACTCAGATGTTAGAAAAGTTTATACTGAGGATGTTCGGCGTATATGAGAAATCAATTGCAGTGCCTTCGGCAGGAAACAAGAGGGAAACTGGCTTAAAACAGCCCTGTGCTTGACCTTAACTTTCTGTTGAAGAAAGTGCTTGAAGAAAGTTGTTGTATGCTTGTTATGCATCTCTGCTTTGCTTCCTGCATACCTCTTCTAAGAGATGGGCTTCTGTGACTTCATTTGGTAGGAATGGTTCTCTACCTTCTTGATGTAAACGTTGCAAGATAGTTAGGTAGCTCTCACTCACCCTCTTCCAGCTTACAATGAGACCTACCCTCCAAATGTTTGAATTCGCTGCCCAGAGAGGGGTCCTTGTAAAATTGATGATAGAATTTTTAATGCTTTCTAGTACAATCTGAAATAATTCCTGCCCAGGTACCTGCCAGGCTGACTCTGGTTCCCAACGCCACCAAATGAAATAAAATAGTGTGTTTTTTTTTT